AAGAGGATTTTCCTTTCGGGTGAAAGGGGTCGCAGTCTATTTTCCGGAATTAAGCCAATTTAACTTTAAAAAATCATAACAATTTTACATGAGAAGCTGGGAGAGTGATTAGGTGTTTGTTGAATTTCTCTCGTCGTCCGATTTCAGAAAATATATAGTTTGTAGGGAGAGGGATGCTAAAAGTACCTGGTGAAAGGGGGAGGAACGTGGTATAATGGAAATCATCCTTTCTGTACGCAAAAAGCGTCGTTTTAAGCAGCTAAAGGAACATGCCCATTATACCGTCCGTGTTCCTCCCCCTTTCACCAGGTACTTTTAGCATCCCTCTCCCTACAACCTATATATTTTCTGAAAGCGGACGACGAGAGGGGAATTCAATAAACACCTAATCACTCTCCCAGCTTCTCATATAAAATTGTTATGATTTTTTTAAGTTAAAAATTGGCTTAATTCCGGAAAATAGACTGCGACCCCTTTCACCCGATAGGAAAATCCTCTCTTTTACTGGGTATACTATACATTTTCTGAAAGCGGACGACGAGGGGATTCCAATAGAGTGCAAAGCACTCTTCTAGCTTTTCGTATAGTAAAGTTATGAATTTTTATAAATAAAATTTCCTTAATTTTAGAAAAACAATTGCGACCACCTTCACAGTACAAGAAAACCCTTTCTTCCTTGGTAAGCTATATATTTTCTGGAAGCGTTCAACAAGAGTAATTCAATGTATGTAGAGACTCTCTTATCTTCTCATACCAAAAATCTACAATTTTTCATAGAAAAATTCTACAATTTTGAAAAAAAGATTAAAACTATTTCTATTTAGCAGGAAAAACCCCTCTTTTTCGTGGCAAGCTGTATGTTTTCTGAAAGCGGATGGAAAGTAGAATTCTAAACTAGAGTAGGGGCTAATTATGACTAAGTTCTCCTTTTAAGATCTTTTATATTTCTCAACCTTCTTTGATGGAAAACAATATTTTTTTCAGAATAATCATGCAGTGATCATATACGATTGTCCTTCTCCTCTTGTATAGTGCTCCAACGTAGAAAAATGCATCTCTGGCTGTCCTTCCTCGTCCTTATCATCGTCCAAGTAGGCGGATTGTAGAACTCCACGATCCTCGTAGCTATAACATTTTAACAGTAAGTCTAACCCTGATTACACCAACTCTTCTATGTAATAGGTGCCCCTGTTGCACCTGCTTCTCTACGCAAATGTTACGATCTCTTTCGGAGTTTAGAAATAATATTGAAAGTTGGAACAATGACTCTTTAAGGAATCATTCAATGACTTTGCACGGATTCCGCCATCTGCTTAGAAAATTTATACCTCTTAAGAAGAATGCAATTTAACTGCGCACCGATCATCAAAGTTCATTTATTTCACTTAATATTTCAGCAAATACGTGAGTAATAACTTCATTGACGTATATACACAAAGGCTTCACACGTAAATTTTTCTCTAGGCTTTTTCATCGTTCTCTAGAAGTGAGCAATAGGCGGCGAATTTCCGATGTACTTCTCAGTGAGCCTGCAAGTAAGTTTTGACAATTATAATAATAATATTCAGAATCAACATTTCATTAAATTTGATTTTAATGATGCTGATAGTTTCATAATTTTGCTTAAAATATTCAATTCTTATTCCCACTTATTCCAGTTTTTCTTCTTCGAATTTCAGCGGATAAAACCCGATATTCGACTTTAACCCGGTTTGGCTACAATTTCACTTGATGCATGTGAATGAAAAGAACATGAGAAGCAATGATGACGAACATTGCTCCCCCCCTCCCCCGGTCGAAGCACCTCCACAGCCGCGGCCGCTCTCCCCCCCCCCAGCGGCCCTCATACCCCCTTCACCCCGGAGAGGCGGGACCCCTATGACCCCCTTCACCCTGGAGAGGCCATGTTTCCCCTTCGCACACGTATGACTAGAGTGCATTGTGAACCTGTCATCCGTAGTGCAGAGGATAGCAAGTGAGTCTTACAATCAATAGAGCAAATTTGAATCGCGCCCAGGTATTTTTTGCTTTTGTGGTTCGCACTCTTCGGAACTTCCGCAGCACCTCATGTGAGAATTTCCGCAGTATGTACGTTAACACATTCACGACAAGGCCGATTTTTCGATACTGCCGTTTCGGACCAGAGCCTTTTTCGCTTTGTCAAACTTACGACCCACCCGTGGGTCGTATTGTCCGAAATGATAGTTTTTTGGAAGAGATTCAAAACATGTCTCCGAGAATATCCCCACAAGGGTTATCGAAGGCGCTGATTACCAAAGTATGATTTATTTCAGTTTTTGGCAGTATACGGTAAAGTTACGGTAGTCATTCTATACGAACCCAATATCACGGATTTCCCTGAAAAATTGTTTTGGGGTTATTTCACATGCTGATCACGATTATAGTGTCCACTTTGTTTACTACTCTCCCACATTGGGGCTACGGTAGCAGTGCAGTAGAATTTTCGTAAGAATCAAGAAACTGATGTAAGAAGGCGGTAATAGAACTTGAGACTGTCATTTTCTTAATCTGCATGCTAAAAAACCTATATATGTAAGGTTTGAGCTTCCTGAGATGAACAATGCGAAAAATCAATAAAATCAATAAAGTCGATAATTTTTGATGGGCTGACATCAGTCTCGTGCTCTCTCTGTATTTCTCGTACATGTAAACTTGAATTGTCAAAAACAGCACCACTCTGCGGAAATTTGAGCCAAAGTCTGTGCCTTACCTCTATCCACAGTATACCTACCGTAGCATTACATTACAGTACCCCGAACACGGACCACTCCGGCTAGAGCTTCACCAAGATGTTCCCAATCATGTGCAAGAACCCCGTAGAATTCCATCGCATACTGGCAAAGTTGGAGCTTCAGGAAGCTTACGACCCGCCGGTGGGTCGTATTGTCCGAAACGGCAGAACACGTACGACCCACCGGTGGGTCGTATTATCGTGAATGTGTTAAGGAACTTTCGCGGATGACCCGGTGAAACGTTCTGCGGAAGTTTCGGTCAGATACATGAGAAAGAAAAATCAGATTGGTTTCCAGTGTACTATAGCACTGGGATATTCCCACTGTTTCGTGCCGCTGTAGTTGGGAATGCTGTCAAACATGGCTCTAGCTACAGTTCCGATTTGTGTTTTCGCACCTGGATCGCGGTTTCAAGTGTACGCAACGATTTCCCTCTATAACAAAAAAATGGCAACGCATTGATTAGCACTTTTTGAAGCCACCTTTAAATTCGTTGCCGGAGCCCGCCTACCGTATCGTGCGCGACGCTGGCCTAAATTTTTGTTTGGGTTTTTTTGAGTGCGTGGTTTTTGTGTGCGTGTTATGGTTTTTTTCTTCTTTTTTCTTTTCTTTTTTTTTCTTCTTTCGGTTTGTCACTTCAAAACTTGTTCCCATAGTTTGATGCATTTTCTTCAATATCTCTTCATTCATTGGTCGGAGCCAAGAGCTTTACAGTCGAATCATTTCATATGATTATGTGTGCATCGCACACACCGTCCATCTTTGGCGTCTTCATCCTGGATTCGCACTCGTAAAACCGTAAGAGACCAATCAATTGCAATCGCTTACTTCATTTTAAAGTGAACTAGCTGGCTTGCCCGGCTCCGCCGGGCCTGCCAGCTAGACCCGTGTACGTATGTTCCAAATAGAAAATTCCATTTCTGAACCGATCCGGACCAAACTTTGCACACATACACTTCGGGCCCCGGCGGGTGTCACAGTCCACTTTTCGTTATCGATCGATGTCGATTATACCGATTTTTATCGATCTTTTTTGCAGAGTTCACCTACAGGGCTAGGAGTTGGCACAGGGGGGAAGTGAGCATGGGGATTCCGAACACAATATTAGTTTTCAGAATTATCGATTACTTTTATTGATTTTATCGATTTTTTTGTAAATTTTGACCTGCGGGGCTGGGAGTTTGCACAGGGGGGTAATCGAGCATGCTGATTACGAACACAATATTAGTTTTCAGGATCGTCCATTACTTTTATCGATTTTATCGATTTTTTTTGTAAAGTTTGACCTGCGGGGCTGGGAGTTTGCACAGGGGAGTAATCGAGCATGCAGATTACGAATACAATATTAGTTTTCAAGATCGTCCATTACTTTTATCGATTTTATCGATTTTTTGAAAATTTGAGCTAGGGGGCTGGAATTTGGCACAGGGGTGTAATCGAGCATGCTGATCACCCCCCTTGGGGATGATCAGCATGCTCGATTACCCCCCTGCGCCAACTCCCAGCCCCCTAGCTCAAACTTTGCAAAAAAATCGATAAAATCGATAAAAGTAACCGATAATCCCGAAAACCAATATTGTATTCGGAATCCCCATGCTCGACTACCCCCCTGTGCGAACTCTCAGCCCCGTAGCTCAAACTTTGCAAAAAAATCGATAAAATCGATAAAAGTAATCGATAATCCTGAAAACCAATATTGTATTCGGAATCCCCATGCTCGATTACCCCCCTGTGCCAACTCCCACCCCCGTAGCTCAAACTTTGCAAAAAAATCGATAAAATCGATAAAAGTAATCGATAATCCTGAAAACCAATATTGTATTCGGAATCCCCATGCTCGATTACCCCCCTGTGCCAACTCCCAGCCCCGTAGGTGAACTCAGCAAAAAAATCGATAAAAATCGATAAAATCGATATCGATCGATGACGAAAAGTAGCCTATGACACTCGCCGGGGCCCAAAGTGTATGTGTGCCAAGTTTGGTCCCGATCGGTTCAGAAATGGAATTTTCTATTCGGAACATACGTACATACAGACATACAGACAGACATACAGACAGACATACAGACATACAAACAGACATTCAGCTTTATATATAAGATAGTAACTAAAAAGGAGAGAAAACATTAAGAACACATCGGAGACGCTCACCGGAAGAGTTGTCTGCTCCAAGAAATCAGGATGGGAACGCCAAAGCTGGACAGTGTGTGCAATGACACACATGATAATATGAAATGATTCGACTGTACTTTCCTTGGAAGGAGATGTTACACATCGTCTGGTTCCATCGTTATCCAGCTTGTTTTACCATTTGCATCCAAATTCTTGGAAAGTAATGAGGTCACAAATGCCTTTTTCATTATAGTGCAACGATGCGCTGAATCAGTGAAGACATTCTCTATCAATAATCCATCATGGAATCATCTGGTGCGCGGATTTTATATGTGGATTGTTCAGCGCTTGAGTTCAAAGTAAGTTTGTGAAGAACATTTTTTTGTACTTTTTTTTTGATGATTTTGCTTCATCATTATGGTTCTTATCAGTACAAAAGGCAAGTGAATGGAGCAAGTTCTGCCTAATTCCTTTTTTATGGCATTCCAAAGTGTTTCAATTTTTGACTTTTGTTTTAGTGGAGTTGACTGCATTCTTTTGAGTGTGCGAATCTTTGATTTACTCTGCGATGTTAACAGGAAATAGGGAAGAGGATGTGAAAAAGGCAAAATTTTGCTTAGAAGGATTATACTGGCTTGCGGCTAGTACTTTTTTCCCTTTGCCAAAAAAGATCTCACTCTCCAATATCTACTATTGTGTTTCGAACAGATATCATATTGGAATGTGACTTCGTATCATGCGCGAATTCGCACAGGCACAATAAGTGAATTGCCACAAAATACCTCGACTTGTTTCGGCTCAGTCCGTGGAGTTGAAGCGCTCAAGGTGAAAAACGCGATGGTTGGAATTTTGGCAGTTTCTAATTTCTAGCATAGACTGACAGGGAACATTACTTTGTTATGAGTATAAAAAAGCTGTCTTCTTTCACTTTCGAAACCAAGTTTATCATGTCCGAATTTCACACTTCTTAGCGATAGGAAATGCTAGGAAATGTGATAGGTAATGGTTTGTAGAGCTGGTAGAGATGATTTGATGTTCTGATTACGAAAATTATACTCACTTTACACAGCAAGCTTCTTTCGTGACCTTAGTAGTGTTGGGTAAGAAATGGAGAATTAAAATGAACTTCGATGGAATCAATCAGTATGCTGCTCACGGCAGTCATTCCTTGAATGCTTTGGTGTATGATATGCATCGGTCTTCTTTTTTCTTCTTCACATTACTCGGTCGTAATATATCCCTGTTTTGAGTGAATTCGATTCTTGATAACGCCCCCCCTCCCTCGGTCTTACCACCAATACGTCCCCGCAGGCGGGCGCGCCTGACCCCACGCTCAACCCTGATGATAAACACTGGTTGTTGCTTTGAACCAGCTTTACAGGGGGCACATCGCAATGGTACGTAAAGGAGAACATATGCACGAAATTAGTTGATATGTCAGAACCTAGTCAACCGGAATTTGTGCTTGAAAATATTATGCGCATGAAAATATTATAAAAATTATTTTAATTACAATACATTATAAACACGTTTCGGAACGGTGCTGCACATGGTGCAGCACGCTGCTTCGAAAAATCTTTTTGAAGTTTACAGGAAGTTTTCTAGTCCAAGATTATCAAGTTAAAGGCCGAAGATTTATCTATCAGTCCCTTCGCAATGTACATTGCATCTGCAAAAGAGAAAGTGGTTTTGCTGAATTGGCAGCTAAAGGACTCTGCTCAACCTTCTGTCTCGTTTTGTGGCATGAAAAAGCTGAGAATCTATTGTGAACATTTGTTCAATCTTTTTGTCAAATTCTTTCAAACTGCCATAATTTCAGACCGCGCTCATTGGTTTCCTACGAACAATTGTGCTTGCTATTCGATCACCCAAAGCAGAGCTTGTAGCTGGCTTATCTTATGATACGATGTCTTGGAAATGGTGAAGGCAGAATCAGAGAAAGAAGGGATTTTTCGTGACGAATGTACCGCAGCCGAATTCATTCTAACACAATGGAGAAGTGTTCTTGGTGTTGATGAGGGAGTCCTCGACTGTTTCGACTTTCTATTGTAACATGGACATCATTCTCGTGTTAATCATGTGCAGTTAGTCAGTGTCTACTTCAATGCTTGTAATACTTACGGCAGTATGAGTATGATGCTTTATGGCTATAAGTAGCTGCCAATACGTTCTACTCCTTATTTTTGTCACAACTAATAAAACTATACAATCAGAAACTTCTGGTCTCTTTTGTTGTCTGCATTCAAGAAAAGTATAGTTTTTCTGTAATGAAGTCGCGAGCTTTAAGGTAGTGTTGATGAGGTAATGTCAAGCCAAATTATCCTTCGTTAGCTTTTTGCTTAATAGAAAAATGGAAATAGGGCTGGGGACGACTGGCGAAATGGTATCACAAGGAAGGCTCGAGGAGTCGAAGTGGCAGATCACCACAAACATATCTCTACGAAGAAGTTGAAATGATTTCGAACCTGCCTATTATATCTGCACAACTGTTTTGGGAAGGAAGTTATGGACGTTTTGATATGCAATAGGGGATAACATATTTAAAATTGGTTAGGGGGAAGACCGCAGCAAGAACACTAGATACTCCCACTAGGACTACAAAATCTAACATCCAGTCCTATTTTCACTGGACTATAGTAATTACACTCAACTTATCGTATATTACCACTGTTGATAGGGTGAGGGGAGGGGGAAGAGAAATCAGGAAGATGGTTCGGCCATGAGCGCCTTGGCAGTAGACTTTGCTTCCTTTCTCGCTTGCATCTTGAAAAACCAAGGCAAACTTATCCAATCGTCTCCATGATGTTAAAAATTGCGAACAACAAGCGCGATAAAGCAGTGCTCATGATGTGATGTGAAAGCTGGTCCCTAACGATGGCTGTTGCTTTGTGAAGCAGATGCGGACGGGAGTTTGACCGCTTTTCATGATTAAGCACGTACGCCCGCACACGGCTCGCTTTCATTAGCAGCCGCGTCGTTAGAGAATAGCTGATAATAGGGAGTAGGCCAGATTGCCTTCCTCTTCATTCGCTTAGGCCACAAGCGCCGCAAAATGTGGCGCGTGGAGAAACGGTCCTTCCGCATGGGCGTTTTCAGCGTCGCTCCGATTTTCACTTGTCCAACACGCTACCACGCCGCAAATCTTTCCTTTCCCCTCTTGCTTAGGCAAAAGCCGCGCAGGGTGTGTCGCGCGCGGAATGTTTGTGTGGAAAGCATTATGGTTGTGCGAAACGCCCTACATCGTGGCGCGCGGCAAGAAGCATCTTTTCATATAATTGAAATTTTTATACAGTTACGTACAAAAGCATGCAAGCAGCTCCCACGGCCGTCATCCTGTTTGTAGAATGATGTTTGTATTATTGCTTTCAAAAATATGAAAGGTCAATCTGCTTTCAAGGCCAGATTGTTCTTCCTCTTTATTCGCTTAGACCACAAGCGCCGCAAAATGTGGCGCGTGGAGAAACGGTCCTTTCACACGAGGGTTTTCACCGTCGCCCTGATTTTCACTTGTCCAACACGCTACCACGCCGCAAATCTTTCCTCCCCCTTTTTGCTTAGGCAAAAGCCGCGCAGGGTGTGTCGCGCGCGGAATGCTTGTGTGGAAAGCATTATAGGCAGTGTCCCGTCAGATTTTGCGTTTCCACCTTTCTGCAAGTTTAAAGCCTTTTCGACTCGTAGAACCAGAATCTGAGCTTAAAACCGGGTGAAAAGACCGTTTTGGGGGAGTTTCCTCAGTTTCCAAAAAGCGGCTCGGGAGAATTTCAAGGGAAATTTGGGAGGCCCCGGCAAAAAAACCCTGCCTGTAATTTTGCTTTGAAATAGCATGCACAATGCAAAGAGTGGTAGTGGGGTCCCGCGTCGAATAAGCAAGAGAAGAGGCCTAGAGGTAAGTGGGGGTGGCCAGAACCCCACCGCAGCGATATCACCCAGGGCGCGAATCTGCCGGGACACTGCCTTTATGGTCGCCACGAGTAGGGCGTGCGAATCGCCCTACATCGTGGCGCGCGGCAAGAAGCATCTTCTTTTCATATATGCATTGAAATTTTTATACAGTTACGTACAAAAGCATGCAAGCAGCTCCTACGGCCGTCGTCCTGTTTGTAGAATGATGTCTGTATTTTTTCTTTCAAAAATATGAAAGGTCAATCTGCTTTCAAGGCCAGATTGTTCTTCCTCTTTATTCGTTAGATCACAAGCGCCGCAAAATGTGGCGCGTGGAGAAACGGTCACACGGAGGTTTTCACCGTCGCCCTCATTTTCACTTGTCCAACACGCTACCACGCCGCAAATCTTTCCTCCCCCTTTTTGCTTAGGCAAAAGCTGCGCAGGGTGTGTCGCGCGCGGAATGTTTGTGTGGAAAGCATTATGGTCGTGCGAAACGCCCTACATCGTGGCGGCATGAAGCATCTTCTTTTCATATATGCAATGATTTTGAAAGTCCAAATTTGTCAAATACCTTATGTTCGGTGGAAAACATTTGAGTAACACTCATTCAGCATTCTGCTGGGTATGCACTTTCGTTGTAATCATGATATATCATTATGATTTCGTGCTCTGACTTTTGTTTCACATTACTAGATCTCCATTTGAGACTTCTGTGGTGCAGCTTAGCTGCTTCGAATGAAGGGAGAAAAGGACTTTCAGAAAAAGAGGAGATTCGGGCTTGATTTAAAAATTCTGAAGAATAAAAACTATGTACTTAGACTGGAAATGCTAACGGCACTATTTCAGTATTCGGCGCCGAAAATCAAAGTCGTGTTTCGCTGAAACTCGGTCCATGCTTTTTTTCTTCTCAAAAACGACATTTGGTAGGGCTACGTTGGGTATAGGTAAGGGTCAAAATCGGTATCGGTCAAACTTTGGGGTTTTCTGACGTGCTGATCACAAACATCATATTCTTTCTGCATTTTAGAGCTCTTTCATGGAATTGCGGTGGTTATACGGTATGGGGTGGAACTACGAATTTGCTAAAATTCGCCTAGGGAGTAAGCCCGCTGAACATGAATATCATACAGCTTCTGTAGCGCCATTTTCTTACTACGATGCATGTAAGGTGGATGATTGCAGTTTCAAATTTGCACAAAACTTTTCCTAGAAAGTTTCAAGCATGCTGATTAGGGATACTATGCTTGCTTGCTGCATCAACGCGTTATTGTGGAGTTACGATAATTTGCGGCATATAGGTAGGCATTCTTTCGTCACATCACAAAAATGAAATGGCTTTATCATGCAAAATGAGCAAGATTTTCGTGATCAGCAAGCCAGATGATCTGGCACTAATTTTCAGGCAGGTCTATTTTTTGACCACTGCCATACACTACAGTGACTCCTTGAAAAGGTCCCAAAACGCAACGAAATATGATGCCTGCGACCAACATGTACAATACCTTTTAAATCAAACCGCAGCCAAACTTAAGACTTTGTCCCCCTACCGTAAACCTACAATAACTTCACGAAAAAACCTTTTTGCAGAAAAAGTATGATATTCGTGATCAGCATGCCAAACAGGAATCCCTAGACTGAGATTCAGCGAAGTCCGCGATCTGACCTCCCGACCATATACCCACAGCAGCCTCAAAAGATGGCGCTACGGCGCAGAATTGACAACCCACCTACTAGACGAAGTTTGAACAGCATCCAAGACTTTGACATTTTGGGGTCCGAATATGGAATAGCGTTCATAGTATGGCAGCATGAGCATCAAGATTGAAATCGTTATTAGCGATAGCTCCTTATATGACGAACAAAGAATGAATAACTTGAATGTGATGTTTTAGGTTTAAAAACTTGTAGCATAGCATTTTGGCTAAGAAAATCGGAAGAACTCATATTTTGAGGCTAGAGTGAAAAGGAGCCGCCTCAAATACTTTCACGGAAAAAACCGCTAACGCTATATGAAAATTTAAGCTGAAAGGAACAGGCAATACATTGCGACAAGCCACAGAAGGGAGAGCTACGGGAAGGATGCTTTACAAGAAGGAGAAGCGCTGCGGTTATTCACTGCGTAGGCGAGTCTCGAGAAAAAGTACGAGGTGCAGGGTTTGCACAAAAATGAGCTTCACTGAACGCAACATCTTTTTTCGAATGCCAGCGGCAATTCTTGTTAGCACAATGACGACAACATGACCCATACTGGGTCATGCAATGACTGGTACGTGGGGCAATGTGACCCACATGGGTCGCTCCAAGTTAGTTAAGATGATTATAGTTTCGGCATGCATTCACTTCAGAAGTTTTCCTACGCTCTGAGGTTATTTTTAGAAGTCACTTCCGCGTTTCTTGGCTGCCTCTTAAAATTGCTGTAGTTGCACTGTAGATGACGATCTACGTCTTAGCTAGAAATTTTCAAGTTTTTGGCTTTGTCCCACAAGGCAGACATCTAAAAATGCGCGTTGTCGTCAAGTTTTGGTCTGAGTGTCCTTCCACAAGCAGTCGTACTTGCCATTTTATATGCGCACCGTGCCTTCCCAGCAGAACTTTAATCAATACATCTATAAGTTTATTAGCTTTCGTCATTGAAAAAAGTGTCGAGGATTTGGTGACCCAGTATGTCATTTCTCACACCTGATGGTCATTGGGCCGCTAGTTAATATAAAAGAACACCATTCCACGGGAGATCATTCAGTAACGTGCCCCAATCGTAGCTTGACGTCATCAAAAACCACATGACAGACTGTGAAGTTTTACGGAGTAGATAAATTCAGAATTTTACAAAATGGCTTAGTATTTGAACCATGTTGGGTCTGCAATGAATAGTTTCCACAATTATGTCATATCATGCCAACTTCACAATTATGGATTTGTGTTGTCATAAATGTTTATCATAAACGAGAATATGTGGAAGTTGTTTGTCGCAGATAATACATCCAGTCATTTTCTATCTACTTTATGATTGTTATAAATGGAATGATCTCGCAAACTACCGGATGTTGTTTACATATCGCCTCACATGCCAGTATTCTGATCTGAAAGCGGCTATTTCGTTGAGTTGCGACTTCTCGCTCATTCAGTTTTTTTTTATTTTCAGAATACTGATGTAAGTGAATGAGTAACCCAGGTCGTATTGGAGTCTGTACTTCATCTTCACGAGAAGATGTGTCAAGATCCCGCAATACGCCTGTCAGACGTTCTTCTTTCAATCCACAAGATGGGGTCGTACAATCGGGCCCTTCGGCCGTTCGAGGTTCGTTTAAATTTTGGAATCCGGCAGATTATGACCTTTTTATATCTGTGTGTCTTTCTGGTTTTATAATTGCACTAGCAAAGCATTTTATTTTCTTTGTCCTTTTTTCAACGGTTTCAACATTTTTGCTCAAAGTCAGCATTTGTCCATTACGAAATTCTCATCTTATGCTTTTGTTTTCGAAAATCGAACATATTAGGCCATCACAGTCGTCGATGGACTTACAGGCGCGAGCCGTCACATCAGATGAACGTAGTGGCTGTACCAAATCACGTGAGTTCAGCTCCATCAATGATCGCTTCTCTCTATTTTTCCGAAGTATTTGCGATGTAAATTTCTTGTTTATACGATGTTGAAATGAATTTTCGTCAGCTCCTCATTGTTATTGATATTAGATCGAAGACTTGCAGCTTAAAATTGTTACTTATGCATTTTTTAGAACGTCCAAAACCAAAATTTCCGCCGACATAATTGGTCTAATAACATTCGAGAGAAGAGTCATCAAGGTGGAAGTCGGAGAAGGCATAGAAACTTTTCGAATTGTCAACGTAAGTGCTAGCCTAGTACTTTTGATTACTGTACTTTTCACTGACAGTTCATTTTAGCGCCTATGGAAGATATGGATGTAACAGACGATGTTCCTCACTATCCTGGTTTTGTTTTTGATCCAGTCACTCGCAAACATTTTCGAATCGCCTCAGATCACAGCGGAGTGAGTAAATTTCACGTTTGTATCTGCTTTGTATTGTGTCTTTGATCGTGGGTTATAGTTTCCTTCATTTTTCAATCAAAATTTTTGCACTGCAGCTTTGTTTTGACTATAGATGCGATGAACGTCTCTGAAAATGCGTTTTAATGGAATTTTGTGTTCCGTAACATTATTTTTGCACACTGTGTAAGAAAGACATTAGGATTTGCTTGGCTGTTTCTTGCTTTTTTTCTGTAAAATTTATCATACTGTTAAGATCAACAACTACACCCAGAAAGACATCCTTAGAAGACGTCGAGAAGCAGAACGGTGTCATTATCTTGCACAAAAACGAGGCATCCATGTCAAACTTCCACGTTCGCATCTGCCTACTGTAGCTATAGTTCATGGTCAGTCCGTGCTTTTGATCGTAGGTATTGCTCGTTGAGAGTATGCGGTTGCACTTTTAGATCTTTCTCTGGGAGCTCGTAACTTCAATCACACTGTACGAACGATTTACGAGAATCGCTTGTTACATGTTGGTTCCGTTCCAAACGCTGTGCAAGAGGTAACAAACTTGTTTTAATCATTTAGCGAATGCTGAATATCTACAGCGTGCTCGTTTTAGACCTATTTGAGCTCCTCAAGTGAGCATGTGAAAGGATGTCAGTTTCTGGATATTGTGGGAAGCGGAGATGATGCACAGATCTTGGGATGTTGGGCAATTGGCGACGGCTCTAGAAACAGCAGAAAAGCCTCCAAATTAGCCTGTTTTCGAGCACACTTTAATGATGAGGTGGCCAGGTATGCATGCTTTTGCTTCGGTTTTACGTTTAAAAATCATCATCTTTTGCTTTTTCAGGAAAGCACGCATTGAACTGGACAAACTGAGTGGATCTGATGTCAACACGTCTCTGAATCTACTAGGTATGTCTTACATTTCTGTTTACAAACAAGATTACAACAAGATTGTTTACAAACATTTCTCTTCACGGTCGATTTCAAATTTAATCTTTCAATTCTTGTTCCAGTGTATTGAAAAGTGCATTAGTAGAAGCTAGTCGATAGTTATCGATTTCACGGTTGCGTTGCCATCATAATTTATGCGAATTTTACTTGTGATTTTCTACATTCAGTTGCAAGATAGTGGCCTTTTTGAGCTCAGTAACAAAATCTCTTGCTTATTTCGCACAGTCGCTGGCATGCAAAACGAACCTCCCACTTAAATTTGAGGTTGCTGAGATTCTGATGCTATACAATAGTAATTGCTCAACTACCTCTGCAGAAAGTGAGTTCCGAAAGGGGGAAATAACTTTAGAAAGTAGGTGCTTTAGAGGTCGCTCCGCCCATCGACGTGGGTGGTTTGAAAGTTATGAGCTCTAAATTGTACTCCAAAGTACCTAGAAATTGTATAAGATCCGATTCGATGACTCTGAGTTCCTGGAGTCCAGTTTCGGGCTCATTACCTTCAGCCCACATACGTTGACGGACGGGGCGGCCTCTGCTGCGTCACATCATGAAGCGACTTTATCGCATCGAAATTCATCTTCGCAGTGGAACTTGAAGCTGAGGACCACTAATTTAGCTTCTTCTTCTTCTTATTCTAAAGATACAGTTTTCGAAAGTTTTTTTTTGTAGGGCTTGAGTTTGTCCTTGATGGAGAGACCGTAGATGTGTTAGAGCCTGTGCTTGTGGATATGACGGTAGCACCGGTAGATTCAGATGTGACTTGCGTCTTATATGTGACAGCCGATTCAAGGTAGAACTTTCACCTGTTTCTCGATGCAGTTCTTTGAGTTATTTTTTTCTTTTTAGAGTGACTGAGCAAGGTATTCTATCGGTATGCAATGTGGTCTTGCAGCCAATGTCCGCTTTGTGCACGGATGATGATTTTGAAGTGCGGAACTCGCCCATTTATAATATTCGATGGTCTGTGAATTCCTCTGCAATCTATAGCTGTGCCTGGAATTCTAACAAGACCCGGATCGCACTTGGTAAGTCCCATTGCTAGGCTCTTGCATAACAAATGCAAATGGCAAAGCAAAGCATAGCAAATGTGTCTAGGAATGGAAGACACTGCAAAGATCATGGATGTTATTACGGAGAAATCTTTTGTAATATCGAGTCGCCGTAAAAATGTTATAAGCCAACACTTTACAACTGTAAGTTGTTTATGTTTCTTCATCAGTTTCTCGAAAAAGCTTATCTGCAGAATGGGGACCTGATTTACATGGGGCTGAGGGACAGTGATGTGATTCTATCTGACTTGCGAATGAAAAGCCATCATGTGACCGGTTCTTTGAAAGGTATGATGTTTCGAAATTTCTTGCCATATATTGTCTGACTACGATTGCTTGATTGAAATAGTTACTGTCTTATTCTAGGCTCCCGATCGGCGGGATGGGTTCGGCAACTTCGCTTATCGTATCCACAGTGTGTACTCATAGAGAATTTTCGTGGCGAGGTATGTGGATTGTTAGCATTTGAAGTTACGTCTTATTTCCCAACTTTTTTTTTTGCAATTTTTTCACCTTAGGTGTTATCTTATATTCATCTACTTCTCAGATCCTTTTTTTGTTTCTCACCTAAATGGTTTCCTTCTTAGCTGAAACTGTACGATCTTCGGCGGTCAGATCGAGAGCTAATGTCGTTCAGCGGCCATCGTAATACACATTTTCGCTTGCCATGTACAGTGGACAGTCAGGAGAATTTTGTGTTTGCAGGTATCTGATTTTATTTGTGATTATATGTTGGATTATAGTATGCCATTCCCTAAAACTTCGGCATGTGCAATTTCATTTTGATTTGACAGTATTGTCATGAAAACAATGTGCAGGTGAAGCGTGATGTTGCGGGCAGCGGTACTAAGCTGTTGTGCTTTGATCTTCACTATAAATGCATCGTAAACAAAGCGAACACGATTATATGATACATTGTTTGCTCGCTGTATGCGTGTATGACTAGTGTTTGCTATTATACTTATGTATCTTTTGGGGAAAATGAAGTTTTGGACAAAGGACAAGAATGGTGTGCAAAAATAAGTTCCTTTCTTGAAAAGTACACCTTTTATGATCTTTCTGAAAATGTGATGTTCTTGTTATTTGCGAAATACAAGGTGTCCCAAAAGTATATATACTTTGTTTGACCGTTAATATTTCTTTTCCCAAGAAGTCTTTTGCCACCTCCAAGCAACATTTTGTAGAGCTGGCTTTAACTTAGATACACAGTATGGAACGAATTACCTACAGTCTGCCCCAATCGGGATCAGGCCGAACCGTCGGCGTGAATTTGCGCGCTCGCAGCGCTGAAGGTCTGCGCTGCATATGCGCGCTGTCGGAGAGAGCAAAAGGACTGCAGAGGGAGCAGAGAAGCAGGCCGTGGGCGTGACCGCGAAACCCTAGCGACGCGGACTCCCGCCATGCCAATTTTGGCCTGGTTAGGATTGGGGCAGACTGTATCGCTCTTCATTACTGTAGGATTACGGTAGAAACTTCAAGAAGAGTGCAAGACATTAGAGGCCCTATTTCGCCTCAAAAAGCAGACCAAGCAGTCAAGTTTGCACTTTACCGCAATGCTTCCTTAATAAGTTATGCCAGGTAAAAATTAGCTGTTTTTACAATGCTCCCTAAAACTGTGATTAAACTATTTGAATAGTTTGCAATTTCGTATAAAGTTGAGTAATAAAATCAGCGCGCGCGAAAACCCTAGTACACCACTTTTCAAATTTTTTGGAAACTTTGTTGAATCACGACTAATTTACGATGACGCTATAAGCTGAAATTTTCTACCATAATCCTACATCAATGAAGAGCGATCGGGTTTCGCTCCATATGGTAAATCTAAGCTGAAGGAGGCCCTACAATCGTATGCAGGTAGGCAAAAGACTTTCAAGGAAAGGAGATATTAACGATCGAACAGAGTATACATACCAGAATACCCAGGTTACAAGAAAGGAGGGCTTTCAACATAGTGTATACATACTTTTGGGACATCTTGTATACCGGAAGCAACTGCGAAGTCTTTACGCAATGTCATCTAGCCTCCGTAATATTAGGTAGTCCATGTTTTTTTTCATGTTCAAAAATTCGCTTTATCTATTTTTTAGAACAAGTCCTTAAGTATATACGATGAAGCAATTTAAGGTCTAGCATATGGCTTTTGATTGTCGTGAAGATAACAATATAGAATTGGATTGGTCACACCTAGAAAAATCGTGCGGACCTCTAATGATCAAGCACATGCTCCCCACGTCAGAAAACATATGTGCAGCTCTTGCGTTTTTCCATGGCCAGAACGAGAAGCAAAATTAGGCCAGAAATACGAGAAATCGGGGAACTTTGCTTTTTCTTTCAATGCTAAATTTGATATTTCTCGAAAACACTTGTAGAAGGTTGGAAATGATCATACTTTGAGGGGTTTGTATAATAGTATGGAATCATCTTTTTGAGAACAGCCCAGCATTACTCATCCAGAAACATGCCAATTTTCGTTTTGTCGATTTCTAGCTAAGGCCCGTATGCACGTACATCCCCGCTGGGGAGGGGAGGGGATCTGAGAGGGGATGCGTCATATCTCGCTACTTTACGTATCTTTCTTCTTCCTTTTCTATCTTGCTTATAAAGGTTATCATACCCTACTACCTGCGCATAATCGATGCCAGGTTACAGGCATAACTGATTAGATTTGTACTATTTTGTGTGATCCCCTGGGGATCCCCAGGGGATCACCTCATTTTCAAAGTCATTTATCTTCCTGAGAAATCAATAAAAACGCCGCAAAATTGTACTGAGGATATACTACGGCACTGCTAAGCATGTTTAAAATAAAAATAAGTGAAATCTGAGGACATCGAAATCTTCGTTAATCCCTGGCTCAAAAGCTAGGGATCATCGAAAAATTCACAATCTTCAGATTCCATTTTTCTGTCGAAAACATGCTTAGCAGTGCCGTAGTATATCCTCAGTACAATTTTGCGGCGTTTCCATTGATTTCTCAGAAAGATAAATGACTTTGAAAATGAGAGGTGATCCCCTGGGGATCCCCAGGGGATCACACAAAATAGTACAAATCTAATCAGTTATGCCAGTAACCGGGCATCAATTATGCGCAGGTAGTAGGGTATGAGAACGTTCATAAGCAAGATAGAAAAGGAAGAAGAAGATACGTAAAGTAACAAGATATGGCGCATCCCCTCTCAGATCCCCTCCCCTCCCCAGCGGGGATGTACGTGCATACGGGCCTAAGAGAAGAAATGCAGCACTTGTCTTTCTGAATGCTTAATGTGGACAGTTTATGCGTGAGCAACGGGGATATCCGCAGGGGGTTTTTTTGGACTAAAATGAACTAAAGATTCATGTATTTTGGGCATATTAAATTTCTTGGATTCCGGCATCAAATTTTACGAGGATCAAATTTGTTTTGAATATCAAAATTACTGTTTCAGTTGGAAACGATGGATGTACTCGTGGATGGTCCCTGGCTTCTGGTGACCAGCTCTGCGCTGTTCCTTGCCCTCGTCCCGTTGACGACCGTACAGACTTCCCGCGCGTGATTTACTCGTCCGCATGGGCGGGACGCGCCGGTAGCTCCGCCCTCGTACTGGCTGTTGGTGACTCGCTACGTATTCACCATGTAGAATTATGAAGTCTTTAGGTCTTCTTTGTTTCCTATCTTTCTCTCTGTTGCCCAAAAGGAGCTTCCCTTCCCACATTGATTTATGTATTTGATCTATCTCTAGAAAAAAAAAGATTTTCGTATATTTTTGTTAATATATGAGAAAATCATAGTTTACTCTCTTTGGATTGTTGAACCTCCCCATCTCTCTGGTGATTCATGCTGATATTTGCTGCTTTTCTAGTTCTGCTCTTCTATGATTAGAAGGATAGTCGAAGAATCTCTGACTTCTCGCAGAAGAAAAAAAAAAGAAAAAAAATTATATACGGGTGTTAACTCCTGGTGTCTAAGAGTTTGTTATTGAATAAATTGCTAGGTACATGGTGTTTAGTTGCAGCAGATTTCAGGAAAAGGTGAAAAGTGCAAATTTGCAGCGGAAAAATTAGAATTTCAGCAAAATGAAAAATGGCTCACATGACATGAAGTTTGAGGATTTCTAGGCACACTGGAAAAGAATTAATCACACAAGAGCACGTGTGTTTTGTTTTGTTTCCGTAGCACCAAAGAACCGGTTCTAGCCCCCCCCCCCGCAGTTCAATTTCACCCAGAATTATCAGTATCATAGGTGTGATTGCCAAGAAAGTTGTAATATCAACGACGAATTCATTCGGCGCATGCAGACTGGTTCGTTGCCAAGCCATGGCCGTATCAGTCTGATCACACACATTTTTCTTCTTCTTTAGTGATTATGGAAGCAATGTTCATTAAACTTTTTATGGCACGGTTTTACACTGTAGAATTTATGACTGTGACGTTTATTGCCATGTTGATGCGTCAAAGCAGTTTTTTCAATCACTTTAGTAAAAGTTTGTAGCGACCTGCGTACTCTTCGTTGTTGTTCTTCACATTTGGAAATTTGCAAAATAATTCTGCGATTTTTGGACAATCTAAGCTTGACTACGGTCCCTTCCATTTTGTAGTCACTTTCTGTAATCGCACTACTTTCAAATCTGCTTTGATAAGGTAATAGGCTTGAAGCACACCTTTTTTTATTAATTGGACTCATTTTTTGTTATTTTTACATCGTTCTAAACTATTTCTGTAGTCGTTTCGAGTTTACCAGCAGAGTTTCATTGCGATTTTGAGATTGTGCAATCACACAAAATGCACAGTGTAATGAATTTGGCTGTAGTCGTTACACAAGGTACATAGAATAAAATCATAATTTTGCAGTTATTCGCTAATTTTTGAATGCAGGAGTTTTTAGTTATGATCGTCACCGTAGGCTATTTTTGGTGTTTTTTCTTTAATATAAGTGTTATGAGAATCCCGCCTAATGAGAGCTTGGCTATAGTCGGTTTCATTTCAGTACCACATTGTGCAGTTGCACTACTTTGAGTCCCTCCCTGGTGTCAGGGCAATTTTTACTTTGTGGGATCTTATTCTATAATTTTAGTCGTTTATAGTGATCATGTAATTGTGCTACGGCTCTGCTCTAGGGGCTTGTTCCTCAACATATCTCAAAAGTTGTGCAATTACACGAGGGGACCGCTGAAATGAAACCGACAGAAGTTAAGAAAAAATGAAACATTAAATGTAAATCTATTGGGTGAACGGTAAAAAAATGGGGCAGCTTGATTTTTATTACGTTTTGAGATTTTTTGTCCTCACCAATAGCTGCTAATGGCCATATCTCCTGACTTTGGAAGTTGAGGCCACTAAGCATTCGTGGGTTTGGTGACCACCCACTTCAGCAGTGGTACTTTGGGTGGTCTCACATGTTTCACTGCACAGATACTGCTCAAAGTTCATAATTTGTCGAAGTGATTAACTTCGCATTTCAGCAAGTGTAAAAATTATTAATGATGTAAATGACCTAATATAGAAATAATCTGAAAGAGAATAACATATTCTAACATCTATCAAAATTGGAATGTCTAATCACTTCTCCTTCTTGAGAAACCTCCAGTTATTTCGTAAGTGTCCCATTTTTTACCGTTCACCCTAATAGGAGACGGTCACGATTCTGTTGAAATGCTTTAACTCAAATCAACATGAGAGACCAGGAAATCGATCAGATAGTTCTAAAAAATTTAGAAAAATCGTTTCTGTGAACTCTCGACAGATCCAATCGTGCCTAAAATTTGTTGAATAAAGAAAACGAAATTGGGAAATATCAGACTGACATTGATACTCATTTCTTTGAAGAATAGGCAGCTGGTTACTATCTGCTACGATCACTCCCACTCCTCCTCTCTTCAAAAAAAAACTTTTGACGAAAACTACTCTTGTCATCACTCTTTACTTAACCCTACTCTCGATTGAACAACAACGTCACACTAGTTCCATTATGGGAGATAGATGAAGGAATAGCACGTGTGTTGTTGTCGAGCCTGAGCCTTTTTTAGTGATGCCAATCCTCGTAAGTAGTGCATTAGTGCGCTTTTGAATGATTGTTTTGGTTCGACAACTAGAATTGCCCCATTAGGATAGAAGTATTGTTGGAACATAAGTTTTGCAGAAAAAGTGCTCAAGAATTCATTTCACGATGTTCGAATATTGTTTCATTGGGTAAGATGAAGTGTTTCTCTCTATTCTTTATATTCAATTACTATAATACTATCATACAATGCTGTTTTTTGTTTGAAATAATTTTATGTAGCGGGTAATAGGTCTTTCTCCTTCGTGTAATTGCACTTCTCTCAAATAAAGTCTGTAGATTATTATAGACAAGCGATCAGAATAAGTTTTGCTCGCTTAGAAAGGGTAGATCATAACCCAACTCTCAAACATAAATTACCAGCATTTTTGCGACTATACAAAATTTTACTAATCGATTTAGATGCGTGTGAATGCTTTTGTTTTCTTTAATATTTTTTCTTATCAGCTCGCATTGTCGCTTGCTGCAAAAACCATAAGAAAGTGGATGATTTCGCTACTCCACTCACATGAAAGCAAAGAAATTTTATGAAAATGGAAAAGATTACAGTTCTCCTAGAATTCTGGTACAAGATTCATGTTGTAATCTGATAAAATCAGCATTTTAATTAGGTCTTCCAATCAAAATCGATTTTATACTGTCTATTGAAATCGAATATGAGCTATTTCAGAATTCTCCCTATCATCTTGCAAAACACTTTGGTAGACTAGCGACCCTAAGGGCCGCTTGCAAGTGGGTTGGGGCAATACAATTTAGCCGTATGATTCTCAACACAATTACACCTACGTTTTATACCTTTCAGTTGTGGGCAACACGAAAAACTGATTAATCAATGACTTTTGACTCTCCTCTAAATATAAGAATCCTCGTAGTTGATAGTCGATATCTTTTGAGTCCCTTCTAAAAATTTTCTTTGGGCCAAATTTTTCCACCAACCTTCACTGGAAGTCACCAAGCAGTCGATTCTCAGAACAACGATGTAGTCTACAATAACTCAGCTACATACTTTAGTTCCCGAAAAATTTCGGCAGCGAAAACAAGCATTGTTCTCATGCCCTGCGTGTCGCTTAAGACCACTTTTTTTGAATAAACCCTGCTCCGCGTACCGCCTACGAGCGACATACGTAAGGCAAGGGACATACCTCACCCGATTTCAGTCGCCACGCGATCTGGCAATTGCCAGATGTTTTCAAATTCAATACTGGTAGACCCCAAATGTACAGCATGTATAACTTTCGTAAGTTGACAAAATGCCTCATCTTCCGTACATTCCGAAACCCCGTACGATGAGTTATGAACGTCTGGAGTATTGTCAAATCGCGTCGCGACTGAAACCGCGTGAGGTATGTCCGAGGCCTAAGAGCTGCCCTACGATTGTCCAGAACGGTATTTTACGAGAAAAGCTTTCTTACGGGCCTTCTACAGAGTTGTAACCTGAGAAAGTACTGTCCTCTGAACAACTATAAAATTATATTCTGGGTAAATCTGCCACCCCCCCCCCCTACACACTAATATTGCGAGGAAGCCGTATGGGCTGTACAGACGAAAGAAACTGCCCGCGAACGGTGATCAGTCATTAGAAGGAAATGTCCTATGGGCCGCTTACAGATCCTTACTTTGAGGAGTAACTGCCCTGTGGGCTGCCTACGAACCGATATTTTTCAAAAAAAAAAAAACTGCACATGAAAAAGAAGCCTATGAGCCGCTTGCGGTCCTTCACTTCGAGAAGAGGTTGCCCTATGGGCCGCGCATAGACCGATATTTCAAAAAGGAATTGCTCTTCAAATCTTCAAACCAACCTTCAAAAGATGCCCAAAGAACTACTTTTTCACGAACAACCGCCCTATGTATACCACAAGCGAATATTTTGAGAACAAGAGAAACTATGAGGCTGCTTAAGACATATCTTTACGTCCTAACCAATGTGTCAAAAAATAACAGCCCTACGCGCCACTGTAGACCGGTAACTATAGGAAGAACATGCCCTGTGGGCCACTGACAGACCAATGTGTTAAGAAGTTACTCGCAATCCCTATAGACCGATGTTTATAAAAAATAATTGCCATATGAGAAGCTTCCCCTGACCCCCAGCAAACCCATACTTGAGAAAAAACTGCGCTAAGGCCGCCCTAGAGACCGATATTCTGAGAAAAAGCTACCTTACAAGCATTCTCCCCCCCCCCCCCTCTCCCCTCCTTCCCCCAAAGACCAATAATTATGAGAAGGCGCTGCCCTATAGGAATCAGCCCGATATCCTAAAGTATTCTATTACCCTAGAACCCCTACAAACTGTACTGCCGTACGAAGCGCTCACATATGATCTGCCCCATGGAGCCAAAGACCGAAGTTTTGATCGAAAAAATGGAGCTACCAGCTACTTACAAGGGAATGGTCAGAAGTCGAGTGGCCAAACCAAACAAGCTGTATATCATTCGATGCAGTATAAAACACTGACTTCGAATCTGTCTTCCTTGTCTGCTTCCCGCTTCTGTGGACGAAGCTACAAGCGGTTTTATTGTGAAAAAATCATATATAGAAACAGCGAAATTGAGCACATTGTTGCACTTTTAGCTCGGCTTCTGGCTTCAATAATTTTAGGTAAGCTAGCTGCATGTTTTGGCCCAGCATTGAGGCGAACGAGGCTCTGTACGGCTAAATTTTCAATTTCACGCATAATTTCTAAGCAAAATAATGGTCTTTAATGGCTTATAACTTCGTCTAGAAAAGCGATAAGCAGATAAAGAAGACATATTTAGAGTCAGCGCTTCATGCTGCATCTAACGCTACGCAGCTTGTCTGGAATGGCCACTTCGATTTCTGACCATTCCCTTGTTAGATACCTATACAACGGTATTTCGAGGAAGTGCCCTTGAAATCCATACAAATGATATTCTTTGATAAAACTGCTTTACTGGCCTCTTACAGACCAAAATTTCAAAAAAGAAATGCCGTGTGAGATTCTACAGACCGATATTTGAAGGGGAAAAACTGCCCTATGGGCCTGGAAGGAGCCCCCCTATGGGGCAGAGGGGGGAAGGGATGGTTGCAAACTGATATTTTGTGAGAAACTGCCCATGGGCCTCTTGCAGGCCATTATCTTGGTAAGGAACTGCCCTATGGCCGCTTACAGACCGGTATATTAAAAAAACATATCTTGGAAAAACAATTGCCTCAAGAGCCGCTCATAGATCGATATTTGAGAAAGAACCGCTCTGCGAGTCCCTTATAAACAAGAATTTGTGATTTCCCAGTATCCAAACAAAAAATAATTATGAACCGCCTACGATATTCACGTTCATGCAAACCAACTTTCAAAGGGACTTCCCTATGCGCCGCATACAGACCGGCTATTCTAGGAAATGCTCTGGCCGCTTATAGATCAGCGTCTGTGAGATAATTTTGCCATATGCGAAGCTTATGGAACGATAATTGAATGATTTGTGGAAAAAACTCGCTACGTGAAGCTTGCAGATCAATACTATCAACAGAACTACCTTACGAGCCCCTACAAATCAAGAAAGTGTCCTATGAACAACTACATTCATTGAAAGATCTACCCAATGGACAGCTAATAGACCGGAGTGTAAGAGATGATAAGAGATGATTGCCCTATGAGCCTTAGAGACCCATAAAAATCGCTCTACAAGCCGTTTACCAACTTTTATTTCGAGAAGAACAAAGAACTGTCCCCATCAATCCTCACCAATTATGAGCAACCATGAACTTTGACAAATTACGGGCTGCCAAGAACTTTAGCAGAAGATGAGAGTGTGAACAGTTGAAGCGTAAACGTTGAGAAACTACTACAGCATGTTTATGCAAGACACCAGTTCCCAAGTCATACATCCGAGTACAAATTTGCGAAAGAGGAGGGGGGGGGGGATACTGTAAGCAACCTTACGAGAGTGTCGGCACCTCCCCACACTATAGCCTTTTTGCACTTAGTAGACGCACCCTTTTGAAAACATTCCCGAGGAGGGACGATGCTTACCTCTTCGAAAACACGCTAGCCTTGTTGACAAATCTGGACCCTCCGCACCCTCGGCAATCACTCGCCTCATTCCGCAACTTGTCAACATGTATGTGCAAAACCTTGCCATTCTTTATTATAGAATGATTTCGATTCGTTCAATGAAACCTTTTACTCGTAAACAACCCCTCCGATGATCTCCATCCTTTATACACCTCCAAAATCTTCACAGATTGTCATTAATTCAGTTTGTACTCCTCTTCTCAGTCCAATCAGATTGAACTTGCTGAATCAATGAATCCTAAGCCGATCCAGATTTATTTTAGCCCCTGTCAAAACTGCCGGATTACCGCCCGATTGTTTGCACTGTTCGTTTCCTCGCTCTAAGTTTACTGATCTGTCAGTCTTTTTGTGCCTTTGGTAGCTTGCAACATAGAGAGTAGATTTTTTGCTAATGTGTGCAAATGCGCACTTCCAAAAAAGGTGATAATGACATCTCATTATTCTTTTCTTGCGATTTTCTTGCTTTCTTTATTGTTATGCCATAATCATGTTAGAAGCGTTAAAATTAAGCTGCGTCAATAGTTGCCGTTGCCACTGCCATTCCAGAGCGGCATTAGCGCCGTGCCAGAGCTTCGATCGATCAATAAGGCACGCGCGTGGAGGCATGGCGCTGGCACGGCCCTGGCACAGAGCAGAAGTGAAAGCGGCCGTATGTATCATACACTGTTTATACCTGGGAAACTTGCGTCCCATCGCCAACATCATGAAAATCTGCAATTGCACACATTAGCAACGAAACCTGCTCAACTATGGGCGCAGTACTATTGTACAATTCCCACATTGTTTTGCAATGTGTAAACTTTATGTTCGTCCATTACGTCACCACTTATAGTCATTCCTCCCTCCTCCCCCCCCCCCCTTCAGTGGGGTAAACCCTAGTGATTGCCTCTCATCTGCAGCTCCTCCCTTTGTTTACGTTTTTCTTTCACACAAATGAATGTTGCGATTTAGATTTGTCCGGTTTTTTGCCGACCCATTTGGTACACCTGGCAACATTGAGCAGACGTCGAATACATATGTCATGCCGGTAAATTTTTTTTACTATCAGTTTATCCATTAGGTCCAATAAATGAACATGTGATTAGTTCCCTATTGAAAACACTGCTCAAAAATGTAGAATACAGCAATTTCTTCATCGAAGTCTTGTTCCAAAAAATTATTCTCCATGAGAAAGTTCTAAACTTTATTCTTTTTTATTGTAACTGTGTTTCTTCATAATATGTCTCTTGACTTTTTTAGCTTTTTTCATGTTATATTGATTATTCCGTTGCCGGTTTGCTATTTTGCTTACTTTTTTCTATTTTTCAACCACAGTTCCTAGTTACTTACTTTTTTCTGTTTTTTGATTACCAAATCTACTTGCCAAAAATACCAACTCTCAATATCATTGTTTTTTTTTTCGCATAACTACCCCACAGCATTTTGCTCCCTTCAAAATCTCCTATAATGAACTCTGAAACTAACCATTTACAATAAGAACGTGACGTTTTGACTTTTTTTTTGTAATCTGAAAATTAATGGGCGAAAACAGCGAGTTACTCAATCATTTCAGCCCTGACGTAATAAATCATCTCAAGATCAATAAGCCTCGATCATTTGATATATGGATAGAAAAAATGATTTGTTGGTTTTCAACGGTCACTTCACTCTAGACTGTTGCGAGAGGTCGAATAATTTCAGATTGGACATATTACGGGAAAAATAAAAGACCGAAAATGCAGTTCTAATTTCCGTTTTCCTAACAAAGAAGTTCTATAAGCGAAATTTCAATTTCCGTTTTCCTAAGAAAGAAGTTCTATAGACTTGTTTCAAGAATTCACGTTCTTGCCGAAGCTCTTCTTTGATGTGGAAAACCCCTAAATAATTTTTAAAAAAATCAGTTAATTAAAGATGGCTATCTTCCTCTTTTCTCATAAAATTCTTGAATAGAAGTTTTTACAATATCCTTCAGTTTCAATGATATCGTTTGATATTACACAATTCAGTGAGATAAAATCATGCGTTTCCCAATAATGCTTGCTCAAGGCCTCCAAAAGAATCTAATGGTTGTTCGATTTTCGGTTGGGGTCTATTTTTCTGATTAAGAAGAAATTATGCTGTCGCTTCCTTACGAATAGTTATAATTACGTCGTAATAATTGTTCGGAATTTTGAAAATGTAATTTTACAACATCAGAATACAAATTTCATATCTATTAAAATATTATACGAACGAACACGTTTTTACGCATTTCAAAGTTATTTTTCAAAATTTTTAAATCAAACTCATTCTGTAAGGTAAAATGTATTTAGGACGTAGATGGCAGTAGCCTTGATTTGAGCGAGGATCACAAACGATCCTGGATCCATGTTTTCACAAGATGTCTACAAATTATGCTCGGAGTAATTATTTTTATTCGAATACAATGGATTACAGAGGAAGTGGGGCTAGGTAATTCATTCATCGATCCTTACAAAATATTGATTGAAAATCAATTATTTAGGCATGACAATAGGGTTTATACTTCTGGCGGCTTTGGTTTCAGTTTCAACAACCATAACGATAGCTGCATTTTGTACAGATCAAAGAGATGGCTTTTTTGCCACAGTAGGCCGGCCAAAACCTGGTAAAGCCATTCCGCCTACAGTAATCTTTCCAGATATCGACATACTGTAGTCCAGCCGTGTCCGCTGGACTTACAGTAGTCTACGTTGCGAGCAATGTAATTGCCTATGCCTGTTTTGCGGTAGCTTTTGCTGAAACAATGGTGTACTTTCTAAGAAATTCTGGATTTTATATGATCGATGGCTCAACAAACGATATGCGGATATTTTCGTCACGTAAGGGTTTCGCCATTTTTCTTGAGTATTGTAACAGATGTTTTTCCTATAGTTTATTGCATCGCTGTGCTAGTGGTAGCCATCATACATTCCATGGAAAATTTCCGATTCCGTCTAATTGTTCTTCTAATGGTGGGAGTAGCTGTTCTGATGCAAACAATAGGTTTAATGGTCCCCTCGTTGATCCGAGAGAGAAGATACAACGCAACAAGTGAGTATGAACAGCCCTAACATAGAGTCGAAGATGAATTGGGTAATTGAAGTTCTTATGTGAATGCTGTTTGGAAGACCTTATCTGATCCATTGCTCAAGCGGTAGCTCACATGTATCATTTTTAGCCGAGAAATTCAGCTTTGAACTCTCACCCAGACCGTATACGAGGGCGAAAAGTACGGTAGTGGGCAAGAGTCCACAGTGGGGTTTCTCGATCGTGAATGATTTTTATGAGTTGCTGTTTGGACAATAGCTCAGCTACGGTCGCTCAAAAGTTCCCACACCGGGGACCTGGAATCCAAGTATCCAGACTTACCCGGGCACCAAATTAAAAAATTATCTTTCTAGGTGCTGTCTCTGATTATAACCCTTATGGTAAGAACGCCATGGGTTTCATCGTTTACTTCCCAGCCGTGACCTGCATTTTTGGTGGACTAGCTTTGGGTGGAAATTTCACGAACAAAAAGGTGATTTTGCACTTTTTATTCTCCTTTTTTCGTCCAATATTATTTATGTGTTCAAGAGGGACTTTTTTCGCGGAACATGTCTAGCCCTACTCGTCGCATCGTTGATCTATATTCTGACAGCTGCTCTAGAAGCACATTTCATCGCTACTAGCCCACTTGTACTGACAGCAGCAACCACCCAAGTGAAGGAGAAATCTGTGGTCCGTTTCGTTTTTGAGTAAGGTTCATGGGACTTCAAAAATTCCAAAACTTTCAGACTGTTCTGAAATCACTTCCTGTCACTCTAATTGCGTTAATTTCAATGTTCTATTGTGGTTACACTGCCATGATTACGGCAGGCAGAACTGCCCAGGTAGGAGCACGCTTTCCAAAACAAAGTATCCTATCAAGAACAAATTTAGGACATGGGTAAATGCGAAGGATTGGCACCTGAGTGCGAGAAACTAACCAGACCATATGGGAATGATGGAAGTCCTCGCAAAGCATATGTTGTGTTTAGCATAATAGCTTTGCTAATAAGCATGCTCGGTGGGTATTTAGCAGAATAATTCATTTAAAATTTGGATGCCTAACTTTTTTATGTAAAAAGCGATTGGGCTTGACCAAACTACTACCTAAGCGGCAGCTCATATAATTCATTCGCGGCCGAGGAAGTCATCTGTAAACCTCTGCCCAGTACCGTATTCCCGTATCGGCCCGCAGTAAGAAGTACCGTCTGGGCGCAAGTTCAGAGTTAGATTTTGAGGTCAGGAATAAACTCTATGTGCTGCCGCTTGGTCTAGTGGATCAGGTAAAGCATCCCATCAGTACCCATATAAGAAATCCAGAATTTCAAAGTTTTTTAGACACTACCGTTCGCATCCATTACCTTCCTGTTTCAGCCGATTTTAATCGAGTTGCCAGTATAATGACGATCTATTACTTGAGTACTTACTGTCTACTTAACTACGTTGCTTTCATGGCTTCCCTAACAGCCGAAAAACCAACATTCCGCTACTTCAACCGATGGATAGCGTTACTGACCTCGCTTTTATGTATTCACTTGGTATTGGCTGTTAGCTGGGAGCTCACAAATGCCGCTATTTTGACTTTTCTGAAGTTCTACATATTCACAAAGTGGAAGCAATCGAGTATGTAGGAAGTACAAGAAAATATTCAAATTTCAAGTCATTTTGTGCAGGAGAAAAGGGAGAGGAAAAGGTAGCTGGCTCTTCTTACGTTACGGCTCTCGATAGTTTGCGGCATATGACAAAGGAGATGGATCCTATATATAAACCACAGGTACCTTATTGGTATTTCATCGTGAAAATCAAGAATCTCTTTTTCTGTAGATTTTGCCTCAAAAAACAAGCCAAAATATTCAACTTTCTTCCTCACTTTCCCCACTTTCTAATCTCTTGTTTACCTTAAAACTCTAGCTAAAACACCGAGCCAGTCATGCAATTTCTCCTAGAAACTCTCGCCCAGTACCGTACGCGAAGACACTGGTTGGCCCGAGTACGGTACTGGGCAAGAACAAAATGCACGGTTCGGAAATAAATGATAAAAAGCAAAGGAATTGGTGTAAAGTATATCTCGATGTATCAATGTGTTATCTGCCTTTTCACAGAATTTTGCAACAAAAAATTAGATTAGCTTTTATTAAAAATAAAATTAGGTTAGTTTTTATTGTTATTTTTTATTTATTTTTATTAGTTTTTTTTTAAATTTTCTTGTTAGATTTCAATAGATTCTTCAGCTCACGCTTGCTACAGATGATTGCCATGCTTCTTTTTGTGATTAAGTTTTGAAAATCGTTGTCGCTAACATTTTCTTCGCTCCCCCCCCCCCCCCTCCCCTCGCTGCTGTTTTGAAAATACAGTTGTGACAGTGGAATGTGAAAAATTTCGGCGAATTCGCCGAATTCGCCGAATTCGCCAAATTCGCCGATGTCGCCGAATTCGCCGATGTCGCCGATTTCGCCGATGTCGCCGATGTCGCCGACTTTGCGTCTTTTCGTCATAACTCCCTTCGTTTTCAATGGATTTCAAATTTGAAGGCAGATTTGGATTCAGCTCGCCGAGACGAATCTTTTCGTATATTGAATTGCTGTAATCGGCTCGGTCACGGCAAGTGCATGGTAGGAATCCGTTGCATCCTGTGGTGGTGTCTTCTAGAGTGTGTATTTCGGGCATAATGTAGGCAAAGGTTTAAGATAAAGAGCGTTTGATGGAAGAGTTTCTGCAGAGTGTTTCCAGCAGAAAACCATATCTTTTTTTGTAGTGGAAAAAAGAGAAAGGAGTACGTGAACTTAGTAAATATGCATGAACCACTTACCGTCAAACAAACATAACTATACAGTAACATTACGATTAGCAAAACGGTTATAATCTTTGTAATCAGCATGTCTTGTTGCTTATGTGAGCAAAGTGACACACCGCATGACTATGATATTCTGCTTCCAGCAAAACTTCACTTTTTTCTGCAGACGCCTCTTTGCAACGCTGTGGGCTAGCCCCTTTCACACTTAAAAGATTCCGGTAAGGCGAATCGGAAAGAGTTGTTTCCGTAGAGTACTCTGCGTTGATACCACTGCTT